GTACACATAGCACCACTCTAGAAATAAACATCATAATCACTCATATCGAACAAGAGCAAAAGTTTCTTCACGCACCATATATTTAAGTGTTAATTTATAAAACATTTACTCCTAATTAATGTTGTCAAAATCGAATGATATCAGACTATATCAAACCTGTCAATTCGATTGAGATATGATCCGAGATATCAAATTTGGTTTTTATTTTACTCTTTAATATTCCGTACTACATACCTTTTTAAATAAATCGTGTTATTCAGCTTAAATAATGCTAATCACATACCTATTTAGATCATGTTTAAGTCCCTTCTTAAAAAAAAAATATATTTTTTAAAAAAAACTCATTTTCAATTACATTCTCCCAAAATATAATTCCGCACATAAATCCAAAAAAATTCCTTACTTTTTAATCACACGTTATCTAACAATTTACTATTAAAAAAATTATTTTTCTTCAATAATGGGACTTAAACAATGGCTTAGCACTAGTTTCAATACCCAACAGTAGCTATGTCAACGAGCCGAGTCAAGTCGAGCCCAGCCACGAGCTAAAACTCAAAGCTCGGGTTCGACTCGAGCAAAATATGTTTGAGTTTTTTTGGTCCCGTGAGGCTCTGCCCAAGCTTTCGGTTCGAGCCTTAGCAGGCTGATCCAAGCCAGCCCATGTTTTTTTTAAATTTGTTATAAATCTATAATTTTTTATAATCTATTTAAAATTTGTGCAATTTATACGTGTTATAAATAATAACTAAATATTAATACATATAAAAAACACATTTAAACTCAAAAGAAAAATTAAAATTTTTTTTATTACATTACTTAGTCAAGGGCCGGTGATGAGTCACGGGCCGTCTCGGGCTCGAGCCGACGCCCCAAAATGGGGCTCGACCAAAGCGTCGGCTAGGTGGAACCGAGCTCGAGCCGGGCTCGACTTAGGCTTTTTCCGGCCCGAAATCGAGCAGTTTTCTAAAAAAATTCTTCTAACAAAAACAAAAAAAAAGCCGAAAGCAATGTCAAACGGTCTGTTTTCAGAATATTTTGCTTCTATACAATATATCTCGACAAATAAAGTTAATCTTGTTGCGAGTATCTGGATTAAACGTTTTAAAGTTTCAAGTGAGCACAATGTAGGCTTAAATTAAAGTTGGAATCTTTATCTTTATCTTTTATGATGAGTGAGTTCAAAAATTTACCCCCCCCAAAGTTTAGTTTTCCCGATTAATCGGCCAGAAAAAAGAATGTTGGTCACAATTATAAATGGCGTCCCCATCTCATTCATAAAACAACCCCACGCATGCACCGCCTACCTCTACTCATCAAACTTTAACTTTCTTATATATTACATACTCCTCATTTCTTCTTCCTCTCATTCCTCAAACCATCACCTGTCAATTTCTCCTCCTCCTCCTCCTTCTTCTTTAATTAATAATTAAGCTTTATTGCTCAGAAAATATGACGGCAGCCGCATCCACAACTTCAATGCTCGAGTTTGAGTCAAACATGGATGTTGACAAGCTGACTTTAGAAATCTTCTCCATTCTTGAAAATAAGTTCCTTTTTGGGTATGAACAAGATCCCAAGTTGGTGACGCCATCACCCGACGTTAAAAATGTTCCTGCCGGAAAAATAAGAATCCTTAGCATTGACGCCGGTGGGTCTACTGATGGGGTCCTTGCAGCCAAGTCTTTGGCGCATTTGGAATCGGCCCTCCGCAGGAAATCGGGAAACCCGAATGCTTATATTACTGATTTCTTTGACGTGGTCGCCGGATCCGGTGTAGGTGGCATCCTTGCAGGTCTACTGTTTACTCGCGGGAATGATGGTGAGCCCATGTTCAGCGCGGAGCAAGCTCTTACATTTATTGTCGAAAATAGCCGTAAAATTTGTCAAAAACCGGCGGGTGGAATCTTCCAGCGCGTATTCCGTCCATCAAAGGCTGAGAAGGTGCTTAAGAAAGTGTTTGGGGAACTAACATTAAAGGATACATTAAAACCGGTTTTGATTCCGTGTCATGATCTAAGCACGGGCGCACCGTTTCTGTTTTCTCGTGCTGATGCTTTCGAAATGGACGGCTGCAATTTCCAAATGGCCTGCATTTGTGGAGCCACAACTACTAATGAAGCAGTGCATCTGAAGTCAATTGATGGTAGAACAAAGGTCGTGGCCGTCGGTGGTGGTGTGGCTATGAACAATCCAACTGCTGCTGCTATAACTCACGTTCTAAATAACAAGCAAGAATTTCCCTTCTGTAAAGGAGTTGAAGATTTGTTGGTTGTGTCATTAGGCAACGGCGAGTCAGATGCTGGAGTCAGGAGCACAATGTCTTCGCAGGCCGCATTTGTTAGGATTGCCGGAGATGGAGCTGCCGACATGGTACGTATTGGAAAAAAAAATTGTTGGTATTAATTAATTATTGTGTTTTCGTGTACTTATTACGTATTTTTCTTGTGGGGTATAGGTTGATCAAGCTGTATCGTTGGCATTCGGTGACTCGAGAGGAAATAATTATGTTCGTATTCAAGGGAATGGAATAGTAGGCAAGAAGAATAACAAAGAAAACAGAAACATGTTGAAGATTGCAGAGGAAATGTTGGCAAAAAAAAACGTAGAATCTGTATTGTTTTCTGGAAAGAAATTGGTTGAGAAAACAAATAAGGAAAAGTTGGAAGATATAGGTGGAGAATTAATAAAGGAAGAAGAAAGAAGAAAAAGGAGCATAGTACCAATAGTAGTGTTGAAAGTACAAGGTGGTTCCCCGTCGCCAAGATCATCGTCCGCCACCACCCTATCCACCCTCTCATCGGTGTCGGTGTAACTTTGTGAGAATATTTTAGACGCACCACTACACTACTATGAATATTACTCTTAGTTAATATATTTTATAGGTTAGTAGTTTTGACCGTAAATACAAATTGGCATGAGGTGAGAGAGCATCTTTGTGATGCCTGCCTACTTATGGTTTTAGAAATGATACGGACTTGTGTAATTTTCTTCGAAGGATTATTTAATGGAAAGATTCCAATTGAGTGAAAAAAATAAATAAAAATTAACTGTTATTTTAAATTTGTAACCTTTTGTTACGCCTCGCTCGCCTCCGATGCTCAAAGTAAAAATGTCACGTAGCAAGCCACATAAGCAGAAAGTCAACAAGAAAGTCAAATAAAGACCTATGAGATCAAAATACGAAGAAATCAAACAAAATCAAAATCCTTGCACTGCAAAGCCAAAGTCCATGGTGAAGCACTATGTCAAGGATGAAGCACTCAAACTGAGGCTAAAATACTGCCTAAAAAAACAAAGAAAGGAGATGAAGCTCTGCGCTTAGAGAACTACCTCAAAGATCTTTCCGAGGCTCTCAAACTCGTCTGAAGCTCACGAAGCCAACGCTGTCTCTAGCAATAGGTTTGAAGATCCCTTAGATATGATTAATGTAACGATTGTAATAAATATTGACAGTGTGTCAGTCTATTGTATAGGGCGGCCGACCCTTTAACAATGTATTAATTGTATGAGTAGACAGTGATGTGAAGCCTCAACTAGGGAGATGAGGCTACATGGTTCTGATCCAACGGTTACCACGTCGATCAAGACAATAAAAATATGATCTCTTTATAACTAAAAATGGGTTGGATGGTGGATTGGAGTTTTGGCAATCATATATTCAAAATATATATATTCAAACTCTCAATAAATTTATACAAACACTTGGTTGAATACTTTTGATCTTTTTTGCAAGTTTAATGAATGCAAATTTCAACATATAATATAGCAACTTTTATACACATTTTAGCTATCCTCCCACATATTCCTATTTGTTACTACATATATTAGTTTGGTTTTTTGCCCGGCGATCGTTATTAGCGCGATTGCTTTTGTTTCACCCATCGGAGCATGAACATTTTTGTCTCTCACCTCAAAGTATCCCCCAAGTCAATTTCCTTCTTCTTACCCTTTTTACTCCAGTAGAAACGAGCTGGAATAGTACTTGATTTGAAGTGAGTGGACCCGACATCTATTGGCTCATTTTCTGGGGTCAACAGATTGACGCCGTCTGTGGAAAATCCTACATTTAACCAAGAGAATATTTGTGGGAAAAAGTTACCTAGAAATAACTTCCAACCCTTGAAAAATGAGAATTCTTGAAGAAAGAACAGTTGGAAAGTCAAAAAATCCAATACTTATTTGCTTTGAAAAAAAGGAGAATTCGGTTGAGAAAAGTGTTTGTGAAAAATGAGTTCAAGTGGTGATGAAAGTGCACCTCGTAGGACGATGGAACACTCTGAAGAAGAGGAACCCTCAAAAGCTGTCCTAGCTGCTCGCTAAGAATTTTATAGATTTCGGTGAAATAATCGATTTTGTTCACAAACTTTTTAAGGTGATGGGGGCCGGACTCCGGTGCACAGTCATGGAGTGTGATAAAACAGTATACAGAAGCACACAACCATGAATTGACCACAAATCTTATTGCTTCTTCCTTGATTGGTAGATTCTTCCAGATCAAAATCAGTACGTATTTTTCAATTGAAATTTGAAAACCTTCAAAAAAGGTAAAAAATTATTTGATGTTGACCAAGAAAAAAATCATAATTAGTATCCTACTTCCTATAAAAGAGCGGATCCCAATTGTCACTGTTCATCTCGTGTCGTCCAATTCACATTAATCCAGATTGAAACCGGTTTGTTACTGTTCACCACGTGATGCCGCGCACAGTTAGTTTACAGTTCATCTGGAAGGCTTTCTTGCCTATCCGTGTTGTGTTTTATATTTTCTTTCCATCTTATCTTCA